ATTTCTGCAGGAATACCAAAAATCTTATAGGAAATTAGAATAAATTATTTTCTTATAGGAGATTCCTATAATAATTTGGGACTAGACTTGAGAATTCTAATAGGAATTCTTCCTATTAAATTCTTATAGGAATTTCTGTAGAAAAAATTCCTATAGGAATTTTTCCTATAGGAATTCCTATAGGAAATATTCCTATAGGAAATTTTCGTAAGGGATTATTCAGCATTTTATATAATCTTGGCCGGTAAATCACAAACTTTACCAGACAACTGGTATTAATAAAACCATGGATCCTTCTCAATAAAAAAGTGTTGTTTTTCATGTCAAAACATTCAGAAATAGGAATACATTCATAACGTTGTGAAATTGACAGTTTAAAAATGGTAACAACTGATTGGTCTGTGGCAAATTGTGCTGAAATTAGCTAATATTAGTTGGATATTTTAGGAGTAATAGGTGTAGGAATGTAGTCCCATTCTTGAATGTTTTGACACAAGAACAAGTCACTTTTTTAGACGAGAGGAAGCATCTGCAGTTTTGGTAATACCAAAGCTTGAAACATTAATGCTGATGTGATATGACAGATGGATCGTGTGTGCCACTTTTCAGGGGAGTTTCATCCTTTCAACATTAACTAAATACTACACAGTTGAACTTGTATCAGGTAATCACCTAGGGTTTCAAAAGTGACTGTTTAAAATTGGATTATCAATTATCACTGACAGAAATTCAATGAATACAATTTGGAATTGGCAATGAATTGGCAATGAAATTTTTGAAACTTTGCTAAATGCTAATTACTTTAAAATGCAAAATAATGCTCAATACAGGTTCAACTGTATATCATATTATAGTGGCCTACATTGAGCAACTAATCTGTATCATCAGAATCACTATAATTTAAAACAATGTTAGAAATTTTACGTATGCAAACATCGGAATCATCACTATTGCTTATTTCATCAGATGAGGTATAATCAGATCTTGTAGGTGAATGCAATTCCAGCAGACTATTATCAGTGTCCTTTAGATTACAATCTTGAATATGAGGAAAATATCCTTTCATGCTTGATACAATTAACCATGACTGTAAAGCATGATCCTCATTGAAAAATGTAATCATCTTCTTTAATGAGTCAAGACTTTCAATTCTCCAAATGTTACTAACATTTTCTCAATGTTCTCAATAATTGAACTAGAAAATCCAGTTGCAATATCAATTCCTGTGAGCAGTTGTTCATCCGGTACATGATTAGCAAGTTTTGCACAATATTTTAACAATTCATCTTTAACATTTGTTTCCACTTCTTGCTTAAATGGGTGATCAACCATTAAATCTCTGTTAGTGCTAACCTCTACTGGCTTACTATTGATGGTACTGGTTGATCTTTCAAAAGGTGAGTAGTGCATTTCACTGTTGCAAGTCAAATTGCATAAACACATACTCTCACATGAACACAAACACTTGCACACATATCACAGCACAAATGTGCATCAAGCAATGATTGCTCATTTTGGTCTGTACTTAATACACTCCCATTCAAGAAAGGTTTCATCAGTAATGACCTCCTGCAAATTTCAGTATTATTTAGGTAGTTTTTCATTGGCTTTTCAATATTCTTACTTCTTGTACACCCTGAATACTTAAGCAGTACAGCATGACTCATGATTTCATTACTTCGACCAACATGACCACATTCTTGAATATAATCATCAATTGTACTGGATGGTCCTAAATGTATTGCAAGATAAGCGCCCTGTACATCCACACCCATACCAAAAGCTATTGTACAAAATACTACACGTACTGTACCATCAACCTTGCTGAATTCCCTCTCAACAACATTTTTAACCAAATGGTGTGTTTTCCTGTGGTACATTGCGAACAATCTAGTTCGGTCATCCTTTGGCTCTTGTCCAGTGGGCAAAACATAACTTTCAGACCCAAGTGCTTCATGAAATACCTCATATAGGTCTCTTACATGAGATTTTTTCGACAAAATACCAATACCTTTTGTGTATTTTTCGTTTTCAGGCCATTAATAAGCCAATGAAATGAGTTTAACAGATTATCAGGGTTGACTGTTGCAACAGAGAACTTAATGTTCTGCTTGTTTGGAATTGTCACTAGCTGAACACAATCCTTCATTGCCAACTCCTTCATAATTAAACGCCTCGTAGATTGTGTTGTTGTTGCGGTCAGAACAATAAAAGGTGTATTCCTTTTCAGTATTGATCTTAATTCAGCAAGATGTGAATAGTCTTTTCGGAATGCATCCTCTAGTTCAGATCCATAACCCCTAATTAGATATGTAAGGATAAAATTTTAGTTGCAAAATTTACTAAAACAACTACTTTGTAAAGTTAAACTACACTTTTCTGATGTTATTATGAGATCATTTAAGATTAAAATTATCACCTCTTAAATGCCGACTTCCTTTCAGTTATTTTATTTTAATTATCTAGTACAGAGTATTGTGTCATTTTCACTTTATGCACAGCCAAGGCAATATTTTTCATCTAAATCTCCTTTTACTGTAAGTCTGTGTCACAAAAAATATAATAGTTTTGTTTTGTGGGAAAATGCAATGTTGGCAAAGCTTGCGATTTTGAATCTTGATGAGTCCAATACTTATAATTTATTTATTGAGACCGAGAAAAACGGTGTGTTTTGTGGCCCTGAGACCGCCATTGTGGAGGGGTCACAAAACATGCTGTTTTCCCAAGGTCTCAGTAAATAAGTGTTCTCACACACCGCTGAGGGATGCTGCACACTCAAGCCTGACCTTCAACAAAAATATCTCATACTTACAAACAAGAATCGCAACAAATATCAACCAGGCTCTTCCTGCCAATAGGGTAGGTGGGTTGGACACAGGTCAGGCTACCACGAGGCAAGCAAAAAAGTGATTCCAGTGACCTGGACCCCAACCTTAACCCAGTCACCCAGCAGTGTGTGAGAAAACATTTTCTGCCTCTTTCGTTCCTCAGCCAGCAGAAAATAACACTTTTATTATATAGCAAATGTCAAAGTCTCAATAATTCACCTGGTATTCTGAATCTGTAATAAAACTGTCCGGCAGACATGCAGAAACTCTTGAAAGAACTTTGCTTTAAACTTGCTGGTTGATGCGAGCAGCTCACCCCACTTCCGGTTTTATTATTGACCAAAGCATTCAGCAAACATGAAGTTTTGTGGACCGGCACGTGATATGGTTTTGTCCAATGGGCAAACAGGTAAATTGAACTTTGACACTTGCTATATAATATCATTTGCACTAATGAACATCCTAGTTGCTTATCATTATGCTTGGCTATAAAAAATCTAGAATAACCCACAAATTTGGGTTAGGTTTAAGGAAACAACGTGCAGGCACTGCAGGGTATTCTATAATTCATAGAAAGCTTTGCTAAACAAATTCCATACCAAATAAAGATGTTGTCTTTCCACAAAGCAAATATATCGTAATGTAATCGGAAAGCAGGAGGGAATTTGTGTAGTAGGCTGGAGATAAGATATGATTCACTATTAAGATATCAGATATGGTTTACAGTATATGAATGCACTGGGAATTGTAAATTGCTCGTAAAAATACAGTAATTATTATAATCGACTAACCATTTGATAATGCAATGTCCTTCATCGACAAATACAGCTTTTATTCTGTCTTTCAGTGCAAATATGGTTCCACGATGACTGCTGAATATCGCTTCAGGGCTTGCGAAGATGTTATATTTTCCGTCTTTGGCTGCTTTATTTTCCTCCTCCTGTACTTTCAGGGCCTATCATCACCACTTTGACACTCTTGACACCTGATCTCGCATCAGAGATATCAATGGTGCAATGACAAGACAAACTGTTTTAATATCGTCATGTTGATCACCATGCTCTAAATAATCGATAACGTACGGACTTATCTGGAACATAAGACTCTTTCCCGAACCTGTCGCTGCAATCATCAAAACATCTCGTTCACATAAATACGCCTCGATTACTTTTCTTTGGTTTTCCCTGATAGAATTGAAACCAAGTTTATTTAAACCAAAATTAATCACTGTTGAAATATTTGCCATCTTGTTTGCCTTTATAATACATGCTGCTGTGTGTTGATGTCATAATGTCATATAACAGCATTCCGGTATTTGATTGGTTAATACACACCAACCTAAATTCAGGTTGGTAAAAAATGGCGCGTAGCAGGTTAGAAAAGTCCGTTTTCCCTCCCCATCTCTTCCCCTCATTCTCTCCCTAACCCCTCAAAAAAAAAGAAAGTTTAAGGTAACCACACTATTGCCATAATAAAAGGTCATGAGTCGTACAAGTTGCTCAAAAGTTCTTGCTCAACCATATTTAAGCAAGTCAACAAATTGGTTAAAGATAAAAAGCATAGAAGTAAATAGCATCAGCATTCCAGGGGAAGTTTATCTTGGAGGAGATTACAAGGTACAGTGCATTACATAATGTAAATATTTCCACAAACCTGCATAATTATATGCTGCTCAGCATGATATAATATTATTAAACAATACTTTTGAGGTATAATATATTTGAGAAAATAAGAAAATTAAAATTATTGCATTTTTATTTAATTTAGTTTTTGCTTCTTATGATGGGGATGAAGGGTGTGACATCTGACCATGCATGCATATGGTGCAAAGTTCATGAGACAGGTATGTTAAGATTCTTTTCCTGGGGGCACTGTAATTGACTTCATGCACAGTCCTGATTCCAGGCCAAAAATGACCAAAACCAGCTACATAGATGGATTTTCATATTTTTTACTGGGGTGGTGCCAGAAATTTAAGGGGGTGAGCCGTGAGCAAGTGACTGAAGCAACACAAAGTGTCACCAAACCCCAGTAAGGTCTATATTCTAGGGGTGTAGCACTAGAGCTGCGAGGGTGAGTCTAGAGAGCAGAAAACAAAGTATCCCAGAAAAAATTTGAAAAAAAATCATGATTTCTAGCTTCGAAAAAAAGTTTTTTGAAGTTGTCATATCAATGGATTTGGCATGTCCGATTGTCTGTTCAGACTTTAGAGAATTAAAGTTAAATGAACCTGTAAAAGTGTAAACCCAATAGGCCAATACACAATATGCTTTTACAGTTTACTTTTATAAAATATAAAGTCATTGACATTGTGTTGTTTGAATCCGAGTCCAATTTATGATGCAATTTGAACTACTATGAACTACCATACTGTGGTGTATATAATTGATATTTCAAAACTTTTACTTAAATTGAAAAAACACTAAACTTTTATTTAAAAGCTTTTACTTAAAAACTTTTACTTAATTTTACCCAAAAACTTTTACAAGCACAATTGCACTGATGATTGTCTGATTAGACTCATTACGAGTCATAAGTCATTACTCATTAGTCATTGCCAACTGCCACAAGTAACAAAAGTAACTGTAGTGTAACTGTTTCTATTTAATATTTTCAACTTCAAAGTCTAAGAGTTTTAAAGTTTAAACTTTAATGCGTCTGTCAGACTTCTTGGACCATAAGTCTATTAAATTATCAATGTCCAACTTCGTGACCAAGTCCCTATTTAAGGTAATACAGAGGAGGTCTCCAAGCCTGGAAGCTGTGATTCTTGATCTGATCTTGTTGCAGACTCTATTCATTGCTGAAAAAGCTCGCTCAACTGAGGCTGTGGGGGTTGCCATGGTGTTCTTTAGCGCTACCAGTTTCATAAGATTTTGGCACCGACTTTCAGAAATAGGAACCCAGAGCAGGAAATCTTCCTTGGCTCTTACCAGCTCCAGTTTGAGATTCGACTGGTTAATTTCTAGGCAGTGAAAATGATCAACAAGATACACGAGAAACCCTTTATCAAGATAACACACCTTAGAGGGCTTCGAAACTCTTCATCACTTCGACATTCTTGGCGTCAAACCGTACGTTGAACTCTTCATCTATCTTTTCTTTCATGTAAGAGTTCATCTCACTGATGCTGCTTTCAAGGTTTGAGTCAGATTGCTGTCTTGTTCCATACCTTGTTCTAACAATAGCAAAGCAGTCTAAGTTCACATCCATAGGTATGCCTATTGACTCAAAGAACTTCTCGGTATCTTTTAAAAGCTGGTCAACAGTGATTGCATCCAATGAACCACGAGTTATTGTCAGCTCATGCTGAACATCTGTCCAATTAATAGATTCGGTTTGAAGTTCTTTCGAAAGGAAATACAGTTCAGCTAGATAAGCCCTCAGTATAATCAGACCTATGACAACTTTTGTGGTGATCAGTTTGTGGTAGAAATCTGCAGCTCGTTCGACATGTTTTGGGTCATGGACTTTATCTCGATTCATTGCTACTCTTACAAGGGTTTCCAAAAAAACCTCCGGTTTGTCTACGAGAAGGTCCACTGCCTCAAACTTGCATCCCCATCGCATTTCTATTTGTTGATGCAGATATCTGATCTGGCTTCTTGGGTATAGTTCTTGATACACGGTCTGGTAAAGTGACCTGATTTTGGGGATGTTGAAGAATGAGTACAGTGAGTTAATCATGGTCATTATGTCTAGAGCCAGTGGAGACCCTTTAATGATGTCATTTACCACAAGATTCAAGCGATGTGCAGTGCAATGGATATAAATCAGCCACGGAAAGTGTCCTGAGCGTAAAAGCTCAGCAACCCCAGCATATTCACCTGACATCACACTTGCACCATCAGCCCCAAGTGAAATTACAGCTGCTCCAGATCTTTCAATTATCAAGTCAATGACCTCTTTGGTGAATGTCATGATAGATTGTGCACCAAAGTCTTCTAGCGGTCTCAGATCGTAGAAGCGCTCAACAACCGTCCCAACATAGTAGCGAACTGCTATTGCAAGTTCCTCGCGCTTTGCAGTATCCTTACTCTCATCAATCGAAGCTGAAAAAAGCCCGCTTCCACTATACTTAATCTGGCTACAGATAACCAATCTAACACTATCAGCGATGATTTCAATGAATTCGTTTATACTAGTCTTACTAGTATAATCCATAGCAGTGCGATTACTCATGAACTTCTGGTGGAGTTTCAGAAACGCAGGGTTGGTTTCAAGCTGCAGTTTGATAAAGCTGATCCATTTCCCAGGATTCTTAGATTCCTCAGTTTCATCACCACCTCTCATGGGAACCTCGTTTGTTGTAAACCAGATGACATACTTAAATAAACTGCTGAGATATTCCCGGTTTCCTCTGGCTACCTCTTCATGGTCAGGGTTTATTCTGCTCCTGATGTCTTTTTCTTTATCTGCCTCTATTTTCTTTAAATCAGACCATTTAGCATAACAATTCTTGTGTGTTTCGGAATGTTCGTGTTTAGACAGACCTTTATTTGCGTCAAGAGCGTTCGCCCAGTTCTTGTAACCCGTCTCAGTAAATGTCAAAGCACTTGTAGCCACTGCGGAGGTCTTTACTGAAAATTTCCGACAAGGATAACAAAATGCAGCATCTTCCTCAAGACTATATTCTAACCAGTCGAACCAGCTGTACCAAGATGCCTGAAAGGATTTTGTTTTCTTTGATTTCGGATCTCGCACAGGGAACTTATGTAGCCGTGGTTGTCTTGGACCATCTTGAGTTTCTATTAAAGTGATGTTTTGAGCTGAATTTGCTGAAATAAAGTGAAGGGGAACACATAATTAAGCTGTGAAAGAGATAAAACTGAGCTTTTTCAGAAACTAAGAATCATAGATTATTTAGAATTGATTACTCGGTCACTAACGTGAGGAACTACCAGTCTCTGAATCAGTTGCTACTTCAAGTTCACTGTCATTGAGAGGAGGTAATGCCGGTGTTGTTGCTGTGCAGCCCAAAGGTTCGTCAAACTCTGAAGCTTCTATTCCTGGCATTATTTGTAGATCTAAATTAAGCGGATGTTCGCCGTTAAATTTTGCATTGAAAACTACTGCCATCAATGATTAAAAAATTAAAATACTGCATGATAGTTGTGGTGCAATTTCTAGCAATCATGCAACCTTTAACGATACAAGTATTTGCAAAACTTGCCCCCACTTTCGCCATCAGATGAATACTGTTTGACCTGAGCAGTGCCGACGATTTCAATTGCACTCTATTGATGTGTCATCGTAGTAGTGGAACTATTGAGATTGCCTACCAGCTGATTCTGAAAAAGCCATTTCAGAATTCTGATTAGTTTTACAGTTTTATTAATGATAATTGATAAATCGTGACTTTTATCATATTTTGAAACTGTTCTGACCACTTTACACATGCATGGTAGGTTAAAAAAGTTTTAGTTAAAAATATTTTTATCATAGAGTTTAAAAGCAAAAGAAAAATAGCAAAAACACTATGGTACAATGAATGTATTATGTAAGCTTAGTAGCTTACTGCACTGCTCTTATGATTTTAACATGCAGTTCAAGCTCTTTGAAATTTGAATTACTACTTACCTCTGCCTCTGGATCTTCTCTTGTTCTTTATGCTAGGAAGGCTTCCATTGATCGTTGGTTTTTCCGTTTCTTATCGGCCATTTTTTAGTTTTTACTGCACTTACAGTAAATGCAATTACAAGCTATTTTGTGACGCCAGTTTAGACGGCCATTTAGTTCTCCGATTAAAGTTTTTATATTCTGCTATCCGGGTGCTAAATGCATGTAGAAAGTAAGCAGCAAGAACGCCAAGCGAAGACTGTCTGAACTATATATTCACAAGGTCTTTTACAATAACTACTTAAAAAAGCAATTAAGATTAGTGTCACTACACCTTATATGGTGATAATTAGGTTGTTATTGTACAAACGACAGTGTAGCAACGTCAATCAACCTAGAAAGTAGAAACGTCATCACGCAACCATTGCAAAGAACGTGATAATTTAATATTCGCATTAAACAGTCTTCCCGAATCTGATGTAAATAATATTTGGGGCGTAAAGATTAAATCTAGGCAAGTCTATTTCCTAAAAGAATTAAAAACTAAAAATAATGTTTGTAAAAATCCAAACGTTCCTTGCAGTTGCATGCAAGCTATTCACATGCCTTGACAAGGCACTGCAAACTCTATTCAGGGGAGATTTCAGAACTTTACAATTGCTCCAATAAACCAGTGAATGCAAATGAGAAGCAACTAGTTTCAAAGTGTTTTCAAAGTCTTTTTTCTGTTCGAGTGTACTCCTATGTTTATTTTGTATCATCACACACTCTGCACGTTGGAGTGGACTATTTAATTATTTATTTATTATGCTGAATATTGGGGGGGGGGGTTGAAAATTTTTTTGGAGGGGTGGACATTTTATTTGGGGGGTTATAGCTAATATTGGGGGGGGGTTGCACCCCCCCTGCACCCCCAAGAAAATCCGTCAATGACCAGCTAACCATTAACTGGAAAATCATGTCCAAATGAGCCTATACTTTAGTATTTTACTATGTCCAGTGCCAGACGATTTTATGTGTCAATGGAAGATTACTGCTAGTGAATGGGTAATAATATTAATACCTAAGTTTATTAACTCTGTTTTGTAATTTTTCATAGATTCAGGCAACTGTTTTCGTTTTTCAAGTACCGGTAGTTTTACTGTTACCAAAACGGCAAAACCGCAGATTCTTTGTCTCGTGTGAAAAAAATGTGTCGTGTTCTTGCATCAAAACATTCATGAATGCGACTATACATTCCTAAACGTTTTGGAATTGACATTGTGGGAGTAGCAACATTTGATTTAGTCTCCTACACATACCTACTTAGCGGGCTGTGCCTTACGTAAGGTATTCTTACTTTGGCCAAGAATTCCTTTCCTCAAAATTAGCCAATGACAGCTTTACCCACGGAAATTGTGGGGCTTGACCTTTGACTATGCTTTGACCTTGAGTCGTCAAAAGTTTCAAAATATTTCATGTAATCTTCAACATTTCATATCTTATTTGTACGTATTCATATGTTAAATCGATTATCTGCGAGTGGTGAGAGATATATTTGTTATACATATACAAGTCTACAAATTTACAATATGGAACAATTGTAAAATCTGTTAGAATTTGTCAAGCTATTGTTTTGAACAGACAGTGTAGTAAAATCGAACAATATCACCTAAAATATATCGCAATGTTTTGATTACTTGACAAGCGTTTGCAGGTTACTGTAACACACTAATATACTGGACAAAGACGTCAAGACAAAGTTATAAAGTTACAGTGTACATTACTGCGGGTGTAGATAATAGATTTATAAATACTAATTGAAGATTACGGAATTCAGCCTATATAAAATACTGAATTGATTCATTGCATATTTCGGCTTCTAAGTTTGTATATGACTAGCCAGTTTATAAGTAATAGATAAAACATGAGCAGCCAATCTGTATCTGATATACAAACTCGAGCCGAAGGCAAGTTTGAGTTCATTGGCGAAGTAATTTTAAAAATAAACATTGTCTAAGCCAAGAAAATCAAAGCTGAAGTTTATGTAAATCAGGACAAATCTTTATCCGATTTACAAACACTTATTAAACATTCATTTCTTTTGTATTTTCCTTGTGAATTATTAATGAATTTTTTAAAGTTTAATAAAATCGTAATTACAAAAGTCGCTCTGATATTGAACGTTCGGAAACTTATAGTATATATTGAATATACATGCTGTCACACAGTCACGTCAAGTTCAAAACAAGTATTACCAGTAAATAGTTTTATATACATTTAAGCCTTCGACCTATCGCGTACATTAGTTGGAAAAATATTCAATATTTTCTACTTCGACTGCTATTGATCAGAAAACTCGATCTGTTCACATTTATGGCCATTTAAATACGTATATATTATTATTCGATTATCACACGCTCCTTGTTTACACTTTACAGCTGGCATTCAAAGTGGGTGTGTCTAGTGTATTTGAATGCTATTGGCTAATGGAATACAATGGGAAGGCGAATTGCTAGCCAAACTAAGCAGACCGTCAAAGTAGGTCTGCATAGGAGACTAAAGCAGACCGTCAAAGTAGGTCTGCATAGGAGACTACATTTGATTGGTCAAGGCAAGATTATGCTGAAATATATCAAATAATAGTTTGACAGTTGCCAATAATAGTTTGACAATTTATAATAGTTTGACAGGTATGCAGTTGCATTCCTGAATGTTTTGACATGAAAACATGACATGTTTTTCAAGGTAGACGAAGGATCCACAGTTTTTGTAATAATATGTTTCCAATAGATTTGCCAGACAGACAATTATAATATAATATTAATTTTTGTGGGCAGAAACTAGAATGGCAATTTTTCTTTCAGCAACTATTCTTGTATCCAATTTCCCCTGATGGCAGGTGGTCCAGAATTATAAATTATACCCATCACTTTGTCTTCTCAGTCCTAATATATAAAAACCATTTACCTGATTGAGAGTGTGATTGGGTGTGGCTACTTTTAGGGGAGGTTATTGTCTAACTTTCTAAACTTTTAGATGTGATGTATCAAAACACCAGGATTTTTATTGGGAAAATTTGACAAGGAGTATTGAAGATATCTTTCAATGTGCACTAGAAAATAAATGCATGCAGAAACCCTCGCCTTGCTGACAAAACCATTGTATTTTCTGAACATAAAGTATCTAAAGTAGTTGTCATGGTAACACGATAATTTTTTAAGAATATTCTTACAAATAAAAAATCGCTTAAAAATATCACTTTTAATTACAAAATTATCAATTTCCCAACATATATATGTTAGGTATGTTATTATATGTAATATAAGCTTCAATTTAAAATAAAATTCAACCACAAACGCTTCGCAAAACATTTCAAAGTGTTCGTTATAAAACTAAACTGCCTTTAATTAAATGGATTTATCGATAAACTTTCTGTGCTGGCAGAGGTCTCTATTTGTCAAATTCGTGCATGCAAACAACTTTGCTTTCTTTTTTATTTAACAAATTCAATATAATAAAAAAGGGAATCAATATTAATAATACACTGAAATTATATGTTGTCTTGTTTAGTTCTTTTGTATACGCAAAGGGCCAAAGGCCGTCGGGTTTTAAAGCAATTATAAAATCAATATTTAAAACAAGCTTACCTTCGTTAACGTCGGCTCCCTTCTTTTAGCCGATTCTTTCGCCCTTTCTTTACGAGAAAGCTTTTGAAATTTACAAAATCTTGCAAAAAATGCGAGCAAAAATGAAATATATCTGCAAGGAATCTATCAATCATCAAATCAAGGAATGTTTGCTATTCGACTATTTCGCTGTTGTCATGCAGTCGTTATTATGCAAACTTTAAATTGGACCAATCGGTGTCTGCTATTCATGACAGTCTGCCATATTTTTGAGATCAGTGAGGATGACCACCCACCCAACATCGTTGGTGAGCGCCCGCGATAATTGATGAACTTTCGACTTCGCTAATGCTTTTGTTTCCGGGTGTAAATAGCCGGGGGGAATTAGTACCCTCGCACGGCACTTTTCACCATCGGCTCGGGGATTAAAGAGAACTTATTCTTGTGAATACAAGCCTCTTTTGAATATTCCTCTTTTGAATATTCCTCTATGCAATGTGGTTTTGGATGAGCTTCATTTGATGTTGCGTGTGACAGGTAAGACTTCCGGTCTCTCAAATGTCTTTTATGCATGTGCTCTATTGTTTTGTTAAGTTACACCATACCAGTACAGTATTTGTACAAGGTTGGAAAGTCTAAATTCATGTGGGATGCAAATTGCCTGCCTACCTCAGAGGTTTTCAGCTTTATTATTGGCTATAGCATTTTTGCCAACCTTGTATAAATGGAATACTATACATAAGACAGCATATGCATGAAGGCATTCTGTGGTAAGACATTAATTGTGTACACTATATACTTTAGAGAAATAGCTTGATACCAATATAGACATAAATTAATTTGAATAGTATTTTAATTTTCTATATACTATTACTCTTATAGACAAGCTGACCAAGAATCTGGTCATAAATGCCATAGAGAATGACAGGAGGGAAAATTTAAATAAAAGACCTATGGACAGGTCCAACAAGAATTTAGATGCACTCATTAAGTGCATTAGAAGTTGTGGCATATCTTTTAATGTCTGGGAAAAAGCTGAAGAAGATTGCAGAGGTGGCCTGTATGACTTTACAAGCCTTATGGGTTCAGACAAGCGACTGCTCCTCAAGACTTTACCAAGCAAGCTGGTGACCATAGTACCATACTTCCAGATAATACAAGTGGGACAATTTGTTAGACTCTGGCAGATATTAATTGGGACATTGGCATTATTTTGGCGAGGACCATGTACATTTGTTTGTACGATTTATTTGCTCTGTTATATTTTCCAGGAATTTAATGAAATGATGGGTGTTCCAACTCCAACAGATGAACAAATATCTAAATACTTTGACAATATATGGTCTGCTTCACCCTATTAACTACCAGTACTCTCTCCACTAACAAGTAAAATTGTCAGGTCACTCAGGTGCAGGACAGAGTAAAACACTAAAGTGCTGCAGAGCATTTGGGTGTATTGCCGGTTGGAGACACTGGCAGTACTCTTCCACCAATGAGTAAAATTGTCTGATATCTCAGTAAAATACTAAATTAGGTGCATTCAACTGTATTGGCTGTTAATCATAGACTCATAGTTACAAAATATAATTTATGCAATAAAGGTACAATTCAGTTTGTTTATCATTTTAGGCTGTGAATTGGGTTAATTTGTTCCTGTTCATGAATGGAATGAACTTGGGGTACGAGCCTGCAAGGATCACTCCCTATATGCATGCCATGGTTTTTACCATGTTCCCCGGTTCATGCAAATGCATGAGGGGATAAAGAAGTTTACTGGTCAAGGTATATCATTAATTAATTAATGAAACAATTAGAGCACTGTGTATATTATGCATAAATTTAATTATTTTCCCCGAGCCTGGTATTTCACTCGCTATTTGGCTAACTGGAAACGAAAGCATTAGCGAAGTCTAAAGTTAATCAATGAGCGCGGGCATCAGTTACCAACGATGGGTGGTCATCTTCACTGATCTCAAAAATATGGCGGACTGTGATGAATAACAGACACTGATTGGTCCAATTTAAAGTTTGCATTACAGCGACTGCATGACGACAGCAAAATAGCAAACATTTCTTGATTTGATGATTGATAAATTTCTTGCAAATATATTTCATTTTTGCTCGTATTTCTGCAAGATTTTGTAAATTTCAAGAAAAGGGCGAAAGAATCAGCTAAAAGAAGGGAGCTGACGTTAACGAAGGTAAGTTTGTTTTAAATATTGATTTTATAATGGCTTTAAAACCCGACGGCCTTTGCGTATATGAAACAACTAAACAAGACAGCATATAATTTCAGTGTATCTTTAATATTGATTCCCTTTTTTATTATATTGAATTTTTTAAATAAAAATTAAAGCAAAGTTATTTGCAAGCGAGAACTTGAAATCATTTTATTGCAAACTCAAATTTATCGATAAAGCCATTTAATAGTTAAAAGCAGTTTAGTTTTATAAAGAACACTTTAAAACGTTTTGTGAATTGTTTGTGGTTGAATTTTACCTTAAAATTACGTATAATTACATATCTAACATATATATGTTGGGAAATTGGTAATTTTGTAATTAAAAGTGATATTTTTAGGCGATTTTTATTTGTAAGAATATTCTTAAAAAAATTATCGTGTTACCATGACAACGCCTTTAGATACTTCATGTTGGAAAATACAACGGTTTTGTCAGCAAGGCGAGGGTTTCTGCATGTATGTATTTTCTAGTAAAATGTTTTTTAAATTTGCTACTAGGCGTGGAAAAACTCAATGATGATCGCAGGCGAGTCCATCTGCAAAGGTCTAATAAATGGGATGCACCAAAAGATGTCCTTCTTGTTGGCAAACAGGTCAAGCATTTGTCTGACTGTGAACGACTAACACGGGCCCTACCAGAAATGAAACACAGATTACTGGGAAAACACAATAAAGGATAGCCGTTCAAAGCAATCCCATGTGTCCACACAAATTAATGTAGAAACTGAAGTTGACCTAGAACCATTGACAGGCAGCCAAATGAAAAAAAAACTTAAAGAATTCGGAATTTTGATAAACATCCGGAGCTTACAGAAATTGAAGGAACTCCTTAGAGGGAGCTTACAAAATAAGGAGAACCAACCAAACAATATTTAAACTTAAATATGATACAAGATCAATATACTGTACTGTAAATATACTAAATAAAATAGTTGTTAATATAAATATGAGATTACATTGAATTATAGCAAATGTCAATGCATTCCGACAACTGTTTTGGAGAACTGACTGCTTAAAAGGCCTTGCAGTCATATTTGTATGGCTATGGCCACCCTAAGTTAGGGAATCCATTCATATTGACTTCATGTAGTAATATGCAAAATAGTTAAGAACGTCATGTAGCAATGTGGCAATGAAACAATTAACAAAGCAAAAAGTGTAAACAACACTTAAGGTGGCAAAGCCACAAAGAAATGACTGTAGAGCCTTGACTGAAGTTTATCAGTCTTCCTAATCATATTTACTTTTTACTGTCGTTCCAATTGAAGTGTCCTTGAATATTGAATCAATATGTATGAATATTTTGAAGAACTTGAACTATTAATGAATTGGTCACACAAGGTAATGTATTGATTCAATATTTTCAAGGAACACTTCAATTGGAAGGACTGTAACTATGAATGATTATTACTATTGTAATGTAATATATGTCTAGATTAAATTTGCTCTGCCACACAAGATTTTCTAATTATTGTTAGACAAACTTTTTCTATTGGGTATCTTTTTGCATGAACCATTCTACCATCCTTTTTTGTATATTTCTTTGGTGACCAAGATAATATAGGTTTAGCTTTCAATGGGAAGTCAACTGAAATTCCATTTCCATCTCCATTTCGGTTCTACCACCAATCTTGGGTAAATATTAAAATTAACCAAAGTCTTCCATTTCGAACAAATGATGACCACGGTGTTCAGAGGGAACCCCTTTTTGAAATACCACATATCTCCACACATCTAAATTGATGGTGATATAAACCAGTGCTGATCGTCGACTCCAAAAGGCACTAGTGACACCACAGGCAAATTGCGAGGATGCCACTTGCAGTGTCTCATTCGTTATTGGTGGTTCCTCATAGTTTCTGCAAATTGAAATTAATCAGTAAAACTTGTGTGTTGAACTGCATTTTTACTGTGTTCAATGTCATGCCTGTAGAAAAGCCTCCTAGGAGTGCTGGGTCAAGACGAAATTCTTTGAGACCAAAATGAAATATTATTGTGCAAGTTGCATTCCCGACTTTCAGCTACAACAATCAAGATCCAAACTGAATTTTGTATCTGTCAAGATGAAAATTCTCCTTTTCCAGGCATGCTCAATGTAGAGTAGAATCAGAACTCATTTTTAAAAATAATACCAATACCAACAGAGCATAAGAAATAATCTAAAAAAAATTCAGTTCATAATATTTTGCTTGGTAAAGGTACTATAAGCAGAACTTTCGGTTATAAAACATACCTCAACAGATCTGGCGATACATTTTGTGAAGGTTCCCACGTGGACGTCTCCAGAGACCATCCTTTCCATTTCATTAAGTATTCGTAGCCCTTTAAAATATATAGCATCTCCATGATTTAACGTGAACCAATAAAGGTATCTACTGCACAGAATAGAAAGTTTCGGTGCAGTAGGAAACAGTAAAAATATAGCAAAGTATATACTATTATTATAAACTGATTCAAAATATATCACAAGCGAGTTGAAAACACAACTCTCACATGGCAAACTCTGCACCTTGTTATGACTCGTTTGACTTCCTAAAAGGAAGCATTCTTCTTCTTTTTTCCTGTGTCATATAATACGACTGAGGCATCAACTATTTCGCTGACCTCAGAATGACATTTCGTCAAAACTTTTCTTCAAGATTGCTTTCAAAACAAATTTGGCATAGGGTTAGGTTAGGGTTAGGTTTAGGATTAGAGTTGTTGTTTGGAGTAGGGTTAGTGTTAGTAAAACCATTGCTTTTGTTAAGTTTTGTCACTTTGAGGCCAGTGAAATAATATCTTCCGACTGATGACAGTGCGTTTAGTTGCTTGTAATCGACAATTTTTCCAGCGATATTGTTGGCAGCCATTTTGAACTTCCTTGGCGGTTTACAGGGATAAATGGGGATCTAAGGATCTTTATGAGGGATATATTTGGATATATATTTTAAAAGAAAATCGCTGTGTAAAAATCTTGCGGGCTCAAATGTGAATGAATGATAATAAAATTTATTCAGGAAACCAACATCAGAAGAAGTGTTTTTCAGATGGTTCCTGCAAAACATAAAATACAAAGTATAGAAAATATATATAGTGTGCGTGCAGTATTTACATATTGGTATATATGGATATATATGATATACCAGAAAAATTATGAGACTATAGGATACATATGTGATGCTATACATATTTACAAGGATACAAAGAGTTAGTAACTTATGTTTTAAATAGTTATGAGTATTATAAAGATAGAGATTTGAGAAGTTCATTCCTAAAGGTTCCTAATTGTTCAATGGATCTTGTATTGTAGTTCAAATCGTTGTACTCTTTACAAGCCTGGTAAAGCAGTTTTTGCTTTCCCCAGTTTTTCTTCGGCTTACAAAGGTATATGTCATCTCTGCATCTTGTGTTATATAAATAAAATGTCTGCAATTTCTGGCCATGTGTAATCTTGTAATCGCTGTAATCTTGTAATCGCTGTAATCTTGTAATCGCTGTAATCTTGTAATCGCTGTAATCTTGTAATCGCTGTAATCTTGCAATCGTTGTAATCTTGCAATTATTGTAATCTTGCAATTGTTGTAATCTTGCAATTGTTGTAATCTTGCAATTGCTGTAATCTTGCAATTGCTGTAATCTTGCAATTGCTGTAATCTTGTAATTGCTGTAATCTTGTAATTGCTGTAATCTTGTAATTGCTCTGGTTTGAATTTGTATTTCAAAATGACCCACTGATTTGCCCCTTGTGTGAATCTAGTCATGGCGAGACCGGACATTCCTATTTGCGACAAACCAATTTGTGGAGAGAAGGAGAGGGTGTAATCCAAGGATGCTATATGACATAAGTTCGATTGCGTATCTTGTTTACAAAACGTACTTGTACGCTAATGGCCATACCGAGATTCCAGTTACCCATTCAGATATAATGAAAAGAATTCCTGATTGTTATCTCCCATTCCTTTTGAAGCATAGATGCGGTATGACAACGAGAGAGATTTGATAGTCAATTAAGCAATTACCTCTCTGCTTACCGAAAACGTCACAGTTGTGAAACAGCGCTCATAATGATGACAAAATATTGGAGAAAAGCATTAGACAATGGAGAGAACATTGGATTGCTGTCAACGGATATGAGCAAGGCGTTTGACTAATTGTACCATCCCTTAATGCTTGCAAAATCGAAAGCTTATTGGATTAAACAAAAGCAGCCTAGCACTATTTCAATCATATTTTCAAGTCAAGTCAATTTATTTTAGCCAATAAAAAAAATGTTTACAATATCAAAGAGAAAAAAAAAAAATTTTGTAAGGCAAGGAAACCCAAAAGAAACCATAACGGCTTATCACCTAGATCAAACTACAGTAGTACATATATAGCAAAATTTTAGTGTTAGCTGTAAAAACATATCGAGCAAGATACAATATGTGTAAATCAAACAAACAAACGAACAAACAAAATTTGGATGAAAAGGAAAAATAGACCAAAAAATTGGGATCAGGTTTTTGACAAAGCATAGATAGAAACTATGTTACATTGATTGTGTGTTTAAATAATGCAAAATTAAAGTCTAAATAAATATTCTTTAAGTTTTTTCCGAAAACCGGAGATGGATGAAGCATCATATATATTTTTGGGGAGGGAGTTAAAAAATTTAGGACCTTGGTAAATAATAGCAAATTTTCTCAGGTTAGTTCTACAAAATGGGAGGAAATACAAATTCAATTGTCGCGTATTATAATTGTGAACTTGGTTAACACATGTGAAATACTCATCAAAATTAGACGGTAACATACAATTATGGAACTGATACATAAACAAGCCTAAATGAAACAAATAAATTTTGTTAAATGGAAGAATCTCAAGCTTGTTAAAAATGGGATAGGTGTGTGCATCATATGAGGTTTTATAAACAATTCTGATTATACGCTTTTGCAAAAGAGCAATACGATTTAAGTTTGAAGGGTAAGTTGAACCCCGAACTAGGATACAATATTGCATGTATGGGTAAAAGAGAGCATATAGTACAATGATATTAAAGATTGTGTCGGAAGACAAAAACTAGCTTTCTTGATAATTCCAATGGATTTCAACATTTTTCTTGATACATGGGATATATGGGACTTCCACGTTAAATTTGCGTCTAAAATAACTCCAAGAAAACTAACTTCATCAACTATATCAATCTCAAAGCTATTTAAGACTATTTTAGGATTGATATGAAACTTTTTTTGTCTTAGTCTAAAAATCTTCAAATTAATTGATAGTTTATTTGCTGATAGCCACACAGTCAGCTTGTCCAGTTCTCCATTTACTTGATCAATAAGGAACGGCAAATTGTTATGCGAGAAAAACAGGTTTGTGTCATCAGCGAATAAGATAAAGTCAGCAATGTTGGAGACCTTATTAATGTCATTAATATAAAGCAAAAAGAGAAGTGGAGCTAGTATTGAACCTTGGGTTACACCACAATAAATGGAGTTTTTTTTCGAGTACACCCCATTGAAACTGAACAAATTGGGGTCTATTACTAAAGTAACATTTAAACCAATCAAGCGCTACTCCATGAATTCCATAATGGCTGTAGTTTATCAAACAAGATACTATGGTTAACGGTGTCGAAGGCTTTGGATAGATCTAAGAAGATGCCAATTGTAAATTCATTGAGGTCAATAGCG